GTGTGAGTGTGTATGTGAGTGTGTGAGTGTGTGAACATGTGTATGTGTGTGAGTGTGTGAGTGTGTGTGAGTGTGTGTGTGAGTGTGTGTGAGAGTGAGTGTGTGAGTGTGTGAACATGTGTGTGGGTGTGTGTGAGTGTGTGAGTGTGTGAACATGTGTGAGTGAGTGAGTGTGTGTGAGTTTGTGTGAACGTGTGTGAGAGTGTGTGAGTGTGTGTGTGAACATGCGTATGTGTGTGTGATTGTGTGTGTGTGTGTGCATGTGAGTGTGTGAGTGTGTGTGAACATGTGTATGTGAGTGTGTATGTGAGTGTGTGAACATGTGTATGTGAGTGTGATTGAGTGTGTGTGCATGTGAGTGTGTGTGAGTGTGTGAGTGTGTGAACATGTGTGTGTGTGTGTGTGTGTGCGTGCGTGTGTGTGCGTGTGTGTCTTGTCCTCAGGGTCAGGCAGGGGCCATCATAAAGTCAGTAGATCACAGCTGATGGCGCTAGAAGAACGGTTTGAGGAACAAGGAAGAGAGCACCTGGGGAGACCCAGGAGGAGGAGGAGGGGCTTCCTCCCCACAGGTTTGGACTCCAGACTTGCAGGCTTAGGGACCAAGTGGAAGGGTTGGGCGGCTGCAAGGAAGCTGGCACAGTTGACAGTGACAGAGGGTGTGGGGGAGGGGGAGGGGGAGGGGGAGGGGGAGCAGAGGGGGAGGGGGAGCAGAGGGGGAGGGGGAGGGGCTGCTCTTTTGGATGAGGGTGGGGACGCGGTGATGCCGCCCTTCACTGAGTACAGCCTGATAGGAGCCAGTGTGGCAGTGTGCTTTGGCCACCAGAAACTGCACGTGTTTGTGAGGCCATGAATGGAGGTGCAGGCAGGCTAGCAGGCAGGCGGGCTGCAGTGAACAGAGTGAGGCTGGACAGGGCCTGGGGATGCTTGGGAGGGTGGATAAGGTCACAGAGGAGGGAGTGAGGATGGAGGACAGAGACAGAACCAAAGACCCAGCACCATGTCCCCCCACCTACCACAGGGAGTCTGTGACCCTGTGAAGTTGGGGACAGGCATGGGCTGCCGGTGGGATCCGGAACTTTCCCACAAGTACCCGTCTGCTGAACACTGAACGCTGCTCACCCTTCAGGAAGGACTTCAGGCTTTGTTTGGGCTTGGTTAGGTTTTGCTGGCCACTGAGACTATCAGGACTTTGGGCCATCCATATGCTGCTTGGTTAGTCCAGAGGCCAAGCAGGGTTCCTACCCTCAGCCCCACCGAGAGAGACACACGCAGCTTGCATTCACAGTTGCGATGCTACAAGTACCAAGAGTCAGGGTAGGACGTTCAAGTCTGTGACTCTTTCCGGGAGACCTGAGAACCTCTGACTGACTTGGCTCCCTGGCTTAGCTTCCCAGCAGTGTCATAGACCTCACCATAGGAATCCTCCCACGCCGGTGTTCAAAACCCTACCAGAATTCCAGGACATTCGGGCTCAGCATCAAAGTCACCTTCACGTTAAGGAGCAGCCTCTAGCTTCATGGAAATCCCAGAGCTGCCCCTCCACCCCAGCCCACATCGCAGCTGTCCAGAGCAGTGGGCTGCTCTGACATTGAAATGAGCTTCCCATGAAACTGACGCATTGGAACGCTAAGCAGAATATACTGTTCTGCCAAGACCATCCCATAATGTGTATGGCTAATGAACAAAGCCACAGCATTGCCAAGAAGAGGTGTATGCCCCCAAATTAAAAAAAAAAAACAAAAACAAAAACAAAACAAAAAATAAAAAAACACTGCAAATACTCTATGTCTTAAAACTGGCCCAAGACAGGAAGTGGGAACTTAATGCTCCCTGGGGTGGAATCTGGGACCCAGATCTCCAGCCTCTCCCCCTTTCAAATCCAAGCCAAGCTCCTTGGCCACTGGGGGGTTGGGCTCCCTGTTAATTGCATCAAAACAATACAGAAAGTTTGACAAAAGACCAGAGGGCAGGCATGCTACCAGAAGGGAGTTGATCTAGAACCCTCAAGTTGTGGTTCTGTGAATGAATGAAGTAGAGTGGATACAACTCAGAGTGAAAACCCAGGCTTAGTGGCGAGCATAGCGACTCATGCCTGTGAGTCAGCCCTGTGAGGCTGAGGTAGAAAGGTTGCTGTGACTCTGAGGCCAACATATAGTGAGCCAGCCTGGGCTATCGTGTGAAACACTGATTCAAAGAGGGATGGATGGATGGATGATGGATGGATAGATAGATAGATAGGTAGATAGATAGATAGATAGATAGATGATAGAAGATGGATGAAGATGATAGATTAGATAGGTATATGATAGATGGATAGATAGATAGATGATAGATAGACAGATAGATAGATAGATAGATAGATAGATAGATAGATAGATAGATAGATAGATATAAAATAATTACCTTTGCATGTTAGTGTCTACATTCAGAATTGCTTCCTACCCTTCCTAGGCCTGACTTCAGCAGACCTCAAGTCTGGAAAGAGGAAAAGTCAGAGTCATAATTTGACCTGTTTCCATTTCTCCAAACTTGAAATGAGTCTGTTATTGCCAGGACATTATAGTATCCCAGGGCCTTGTACTGAGAAGAGCCCCACACCCAGACATGAGAACAACCAATCAACTTGTCAGTTGTTCAGTCCTTGGGAAACTGAGCAGTAAGGGACTAGGAAGTCCTGGAGAAGGAGGACATCCGGGACCTAGAACTAGGTGGAGGCTGGCTGCACAATGGGCAGCAGGCAAATCTCAGGGGACTTTCCAGATGCCTGAGTGCAGGAACTCCAGGATGCAGGCCAGGGTCCACAAGCTTCACAAGACATAGACTGTGTCTCCCCTGGATCATGCACAGGCTGCCTCAGGTGCCCAGACTATGCTCAGCAGGCTGTAGGGACAGGACAGAAGCCACAGTTTTCATCTCTCAGGCATTTGGCATTCCAGCTCCCTCTAGCAGAGCCAAGCTCCTTCCAAGGAAGAGATCAGAGGAAGCCCCAGGTGGCCAGCTGGCCTCTGCTGACCTTTGACCCTTCCTCTTATCTTTCCTTTCTTGCTCAGCAGCAAGCCTGCTGCCTAGCCAGACCCAGGCTCCAGCAAGAACCCTCAGTCAGGTTCTGGCTTCAGGGCGAGCAGGGCTAGAATTCCAGAGAGTGGCCCTGTATGCATCCCTTCGGCCACCCCAGCCAATCAGCAGGCATGGCAGACCCACACAGCCCACCCCCCTGTCAGGCACGTTGCAAGAATAAAGCAGAAGGCAACCACCAGATGTCTTGGCAGGACCTGAGTTTGAAGTCAGAGTTCTGGCTTCCAGCCCAGGTGGGTCCCTCGCCAGGCAGAGCTCTGGGCAAGCAACTTCACAGAGGTCCCCTCTCCAGAGGGAGGGTGGCCTGCCCTGCCCGGCCCGCCTCCCTGGCTTTCATGGACACCAAATGAGATAATGACTGTGGAAGTACTCTAAAAAGAACGGATCGGCCCACAGTGGCAGGGATTATCCTTATTATTAAGGAGCGTGATTTCCACAATCCAGAAAAGCTGCCATTAGCAAGGGGGCTCCTGTTCATGTTGATTTAATTTCCTGGTTAACTGAGCATTGGCAGGGAAAAAAAAAAAAAATGTTTCAACCCTTATTGGAAATCTTTTTAAATTATGCCAGTTTTCTTTCTCACACTGGTCATGGTATAGTCTTGAGTCTTTATTTATTAATGAGTTGATTGATTCATATTTTCATGTATTACTCTTGCTCTGAGTGTAACCCAAACAGCAGGCAGGGACTCGGCCTCCCCCTGCTGGGGACCTCGTCCACTCCTGGGACTTGAATTTGGGGAAAACGGAGAGTAAGGGCTGCAGAGCACACAGAGAAGGTCTACTGTGTGGCTTTCCAGAGTTTTCTTTGGTGTTTGCTGTTTTCCTGAGAAGGATGCAAAGGGTGTGTGGCTTAAGAGACACTTCCGGTCGGGGTAGAAGGGTTGAGCGAGTTCGTCCAGGAACACTCCTTGAGAGGAGTGATCGGCTTGGGTTGTCGAGTTGGCTGGGGGTTGTTTGCTTGCGACATAGTCCTTTGTAGCCCAGGCTGGCCTTGAACTTGCTCTGACCTTGAACCTGACCCTCCTGCTTCACGTCCTGCCCAGTACTGACATCACAGGTGTGCAACACCACGCCTGACCCACCATGGTGGCCCTTAACTCGTTTGTCAGGCCTGGTGTGATCAAATAAACAGCCTCTCCTTCAAGAGTCTGGGAGAAGGCTGCCTGAAGGCCTTGGGGTCACTGCTACAAAGCGACTCAGAAAAGCCCATGGTGTCACCACCAGAGCTACTGGTGTCAAAAAGGGCGTGCCTGTGTGCCTGGACTGAATCTGATGGGGAAGGATGGCCCTTTAAATAGAACCCTCTGGAAACGAATGTCCTTGAAGTCTTCGGGACAGCAGTCCTTTCCATTCTGAAACTCTAAAGTGATTGAAAAAGTGTCTCAGGTCCCCAGTGTGGCAAGTGCTATGTGCTGTTTGTGCAGGGTCCGGGTCCCAGGCTGCAGGGGACTGGGGACGCAGATCTGAAGCCCTAGTAGCTGCTTTTCCCTTGAGCGCCTACATTAGCGACCTCAGCGATTGTGACCCAGAAATGCTCATTAAGCAGCGAGGGTGAGAAACGCAGGACAGCTGCTGGCCTGGGATCTTGATGTCCTCGGGGGGCACAGGTCCATCTCACTGTTGAGGTCCTTGGCTACATGCGCCTCAGCCACTGCACAGGTCTGAGGTTCCCATCAGGAGTGACTTGGCCTCCCCCGAGAGCCTGGAGAGCCGCAGCCTTCCCCAGGTATCCCAGTGAAGACGGGCGCTTAACGGCACATGGTGGATGGAGGCCAGGGAAGGTGCTGGCACCCCGCAGGTGCCTAGCATGGTCTCAAATGCCATCACCTGCTGCTAGGGTGAAATGCCGGTGCCAGGCAGGCAGTGTGGGTATGATCTACACCTGTTACGCCCTCATAGAGCCAGTGTCTGCTCTTCCCACAGAACCCCGACATCGTCCTGGTACACTATCTGAATGTACCGGCCATCGAGGACTGCGGCAAGCCCTGTGGGCCCATCCTCTGCTCCATCAACACTGACAAGAAGGAGTGGGCGAAGTGGACCAAGGAGGAGCTCATCGGGCAGCTGAAGCCCATGTGTGAGTACCTCCCTGTGCTCCAGCTAGCATTGCTTACCCAGGTGGGCCTGCAGGACCCAGCATGGAGCCCCGGTTTGTTCAGACGTGCTGACACTTTGAATTTAGCGTTAACAACATCCCCCGCCCTGTGCCTACAGTCACTTAATCCTATAAGCTTCCACGCTGCAATCAAGGCACAAACCCTTAACCTGTGGTGTGCCACCTTGCAAGCATCAGAGCCAGAACCCAGATCCCTGGCACTCGTGTAAAAAGCCAGGCACAGCAGAGGCGGTGGGGTGACAAACGGGTCCCTGGGAGCTCTCCAGCCAGCTAGCCTAGCCTACCTCGTGAAGTTCCAAGCCGGGGAGAGACCCTGCCTTCAACAAAAAGGTGGGAGACATCTGAAGACACAATCCCAAGTTGCCCTGTGACTCCATACACATGCACCCCTCAGACATGCGTGTACCTAGACTCATATGACAGGTGGAGAAGATAAGACTCAGAGACACAAACAGAGAAGTCTGGGAGAGATCAAGAGTGTGTCTACCACACATAGGAGCAGGGTAAGAGACCGAGGCGGGGGGACAAGGCCGGGAACCGAAGACTAGGCTGGTAGAGCTGGCCCCTTCCTACCCTTGGCTGCCCGAGCTGGCTCTGGACATGGCGGCAGGCAGCTGGGCCCTGGGCTGCCACGGTGCCCAGCCTGGGTGGCAAGTGATTGAGTTGATTTCATTTCATCAGCAAAGCTGAGCTTTGGGTAGCATCTGTCAGGTGTGAGTCACTGAGGCAGATGGCCGAGGGGCCAGGAAGGCAGGATCCTTGTTTTTGAAGTTGCCTCCGCCCCTCCTGCCCCTCCCAGCTGGGCTCAGACAGACAAAGGAAACCATGAGGCTGCCCAGTGCTGGGCAGGACCCCACAGCTTGTGAGGGTGCGGATTGTCCTCTCGGTCACCAACAGGAGCTGCAAAAGTGGAAAATGGGCTGGGGGGGGGGTCTCTCAGAAGCAGGACCATTCTGAGCTGGCCAGGGGGGAGCTAATGTTGTTGGGCACAACAGGGAAGCCGTTAAAATATCCTTGCCTGTGGGTTACGAGCTTAAGCTGGGGGTGGTTGCCATGCCCCACCTGTCTTGAAAGTCCAAGACCCCAGTGTATCATCAGCCTCAGACCTGGAGAGGGTCCCTAGGGACAAAATGTCATGTATTGGAGGAAGACCCAGAGAGCGTACCCTGATGTCCTGAGCTCAGCTGTGTTGTCTCTGGTACCACAGGGATAGTTCCAGGGGCCTTCAGGGCTCAGGATTCATCCTTGGCTGCGACTCCAACTGTGTCTGCCCTGGCCTGCAGCTCTCCTGTTATGGCAGACAGTGCCTCCACCGTGGGCCTCCACCTTGTGGCCTTCATGCCTTTCTTTCCTCTATCTGGCCTCTCCCTACTTCATTGGGTTCCCAAACTCGGCCTATATTCAGCCCCTCCCCATAGGCTCAGCCCATATCCCCTACGGCCCCCTGGTCTCCTCCAAACCCCCACTCCAGGGGAGCATCAGACACAAATAAACCCAGAGGGACCACACCACCTCTTCCTAATTCTGCAGAGGGAGGAATCATGGGGTGCCCTGGCAGATGGCTAGTGCTCAGAAAGGCTTTGGGGTGTAAGCAGAAAGCAACTGTGCTGGCTTTGGTCCAGTGTCTGCAACAACAGACCACACCTCCACTATCCAGGCTCTGGGATCTAACGCTGCCTAAATGCGCCCTCCCATCTTGGGTCCAGCTCTTAGGTTCCCTGCTTCCAAGGGGGATCCTACTTCTCATTCAGGGCCCAGCAGGGCACAAGGGGTGTCAACAAATACCAATAGGGGTCCTACTCAGCCCCATATGGGGCCCTCGGGCCCATTTGCCCCTTCTCCTAGGCAATGCCTTGGATTAGCTGGGCAGGAACTCTGCCCAGGGCATACTCTGATGCGTCAGGCCAGACAGTGGAAGGCGCCGGAGCTGGGACTCAGGTGACTAACCACTGTCCTGTTCTATGGCCACCTTGAAACTAGAATTTGGTTCTGGCAGTCTGTCATTCACAGCCAGCCACCAACGAGCAGAGCTGGGAATTAGCACCGCTTTTTTCAGAGAGCCAGCAACTGGAGAAGACGTGGATCAGCTTCCTAAAACTCTATCTCCTGTCCCATCTCCAGCCAGCAGATGATATAAGGTCAGGAGTCAGAGGCTACCAGTCACTCTGGGGCTCAGCCCTCTGGGCAGGTGGTCAGCCATGCTTTTGAGGTCTGTGTCCCTCTCCCAGACATCCCCTGTCCTTCCTGACACTTAGTTGTTGGGCTCCTCGCTCCAAAGCCCGGGCAGCAGGGGCACATTGCTTCCTCCCCTCTGGAACAGTCCTATTTTTTCTTCAAGCCATGTGCCATTGGCAAACTAGGGCCTGTTTGTGCACGAAAGACTCCAGCCAGGCACCCGGAGCAGAAGACCAGGTCCTGGCAGAAGTGTCAGAGCCTGTGTGTGCCAGACACACACCTGGAACATGCTACATGGAAAGCCATATCTGCCAAGCAGAATCTTATGCTCAGGGTCTCTGCCTAGGGCTTCATCACCAAATGCACACGGCTCTACGTGAAGCCAACAGTGCCATGCTCCCTGACACCTTCTGCAAGGGTGCCGCTTCCAGGCCAGGCGGGAGGCGCAGGCTCCTAAACTCCAAGGGGCAAAAAGAAGACTTGATTTGGCTTCTGAGGTTTAACTGGAAGAAATGGTGAGCATTGCTTCAGAGCCCGTGGTGAATCAAGGAAGTTATATAAAACCTGGAGAAGGAGACCAAGAGGTCACAGCACTCAAGGCGCTGTGCAGGCCTGACCTGGACTCTGCTACATAGGCAGGCTCTGCCTGGGGACTGACACGTGGAAACCCAGCCCCATAAGTGCCTAGCTGCTGATCAGACTTGGGCAGCACACAGGTGCCAGCCAGCAGTGTTCGGGGAAAGCGCTGTGTGCTGAGAGCCAAGAAACCATCAGATGGGTTCCAGAACAAGGCATGCCGTGAATGCTGGAGCCAAGCACATTAGCTTCATAAATCACATTCCTTCAAAGACTTCCCTGTTTGATGCCCCGATGTTTCCCCATCCCTCTGCCCATCAGAGTTGTCAACGGCTTAATCAGAACATGACACTGATCCGTGGTTATTATAAGGCCTCCGTCCGTACACAGTCCCTGCCTCTCCTGTCTCAAGAGAGGAGAGGGGTTCCTTGTGCATCTGATTCTTCGGACTAAGGGGCCTTCCCTTCACCTGCAGTCTTAAGAGTCCACACATAGAGAGTAAACACAGAGGGAAAATTAAGATGTCTGATTGAATTCCCAACAGGCTTTCAAAGAGTCTTCCTGGCTTTTGTAATCCCTCCTTGCCAAATAACAGGGGCTTTAAAAAAAATACTCTCTCTCCCTCGCCCTTACAAATTTCACAGTCCAGAGTTGACATGGCAGTCCCCAGTAACGGGAGTTAGCCACTGTGGCTCCTTCCAGCTGGTGGATCTTCCATTTATAGGGTGCTTCTCACTTTTGTATGTCTTAAGTGGCTGCTGCAGCCCTCGCCACCACACTTGCATCCCAATCAACAAAAGAAGGAGAAATGAATTTTCGCGCTATAATCACCCCTGGTTGGACAGGCATCTGCAGCAGGATGGCGTTTTGCTGGGCACATTTGGGAAAATGGGTTTCTGGGTGCGAAGCATGCCTGAGTGCCCTGTGGGCTTCAGCTTTGCTGGCTTACGGTATGCAGAGCTGCTCATCTCAGGCCAAAGTCTGGGATGACTGTCTGGGGTCCTGTCTGGGGTGGGAGAGAATGGAGCTCATCTGCATAAGTCTGTCACATCCTGGAAGTCCTGTGGTCTACTCCCTTACAGCTGTTCTGAGGGATGCTTTTGACAAGGCTTTGGCTCTTGGTCTTTCCAGCTTGCTGGGAAATTTGTTCAGTGGCCCAAAGCCACCACAACCGTGACCCAAATTTTTCACTCTCAGCTTCTGTGACCCAATGAGGAGCCAGATAAAACTGGTTCCCATAGGGCAGCCATGGCTTTTCGCCCTGTCTCACTTCCTGGCTGCCCATCCGGGAAGAGCATGCCAACCTCTCCCCAGCTAGCAGTCTGTGGAGCTGTAGCAGCCAGAGTGATGGGCAAGAGTTTTTACAGGGCCCCAACCCTTCCCTGAGCAGAGCCGTGCCTGGCTCTCCTAGCCTTTAGACTCCTTTTGGAGCACCCTGGATGGCCAGATGGCCTTGCAAAGACAAGTGAGGCCTGAGCTTTCTACAGGCCTCCACTATTCCAGAGAGCATTAGATGGTTCCAGCCTGCAGCCAGCCCAACTTTGGTTCTGCCCAACTGTCTCCTGGGGACCCCACATGTCACTCTATGTCCATAGATGGCCGTGGCAGGTGTCTTCTGCTACAAAAGGAAGGCCAATGGGAAAGATGCCTGGAAAGACAGCCTAGCCTGAGACAGCAGCCACCTCATGTCCCCAATGCTCCTGCATGTCCCATAATGCCATGCGCACTTGCACACATGCATACAGCACCCTCGACACCTTGGACACACACCCGAGCCCAGTAAGGGGATGACTTGGGTTCCTGACGCCACACCTCTTAAACCTTCTCCGGAAACAACCCCACCTCCTGGCCCAGGAGACAAGGCGGAGGGTACTCTGGTACACCAGCCACAGGACGCACACCTGGGAAGTGGCCCTGTGGCTTTGGGTGGCCGTGATGACAAGGGGAAGCCATGTGAAGGGATCTCCATTAGAGGGTGGAGGCAGGAATGCAATCATGGAAGTGTTGATCTGTACGGAGACAGCTTCCCCTTTCCCAGACTTGGCCAAGACACCCGAGCTTTCTGGGAAGCCTTGCTCTCTTTGCTGGGAAGGGATGATGATGGGCCTTGCCTCTGCAGGTCCCTGTGGCCCTGGAATGACATCACGGATGTCAAGTGATTAGTGGAGAAGCCATACTGTGTATGAGGTAGAGACCGCGGCGAGGGTGGA